CTCCGTCTCCCCTTCCTAGATTGACAACCTTTCCTCTTGCCATTCCAGATCTTCTATGACTAGTGCCAACACCTGATGAAGAATCTACTTCACATGTTAGTGGAATAGGGGTTGCCAATGAAGAGAAAGCCACCTCATGTGTGCTTTGAGGAGTATGGGTACTTGCACCCCCCTTCTGATAGATAACAATTTCCTTCTAACCAGTCGACCAATTTTAGGCTCTCCAGGATTAGGCCTTTGCACCTGCATTTGTACATTTAAACATCGATACTTTGGTAAATGCCATTGTATAGATGTTAATCTAGTTCTTTCATGGCTACTTATTATTAGGCCTTTGTATAGATGTTTGATATAGTTAGTTTAGTGGCTATAGAGGTTTACAATACTGCCAACTCCTGTCATCAATAATAGACAATACAGAGGTCTGATATAGTTAGTTTAATGCCTAATGCCTATATAATTAGTTTAACCCATCTACCTCATTCAATAAAGTGGCCATGTATATATATCATTGAAATTTAACCAATCTAGTATTGCCATTGATATAAAGATCCAATAAAACACAATTCACTAACCACCATATTTAGGTTTATTTAAATAAGGAAACTAAGACATAAGTTAACATGTAAACATTTAACTTTAGTGGCTAGTCCCCAATTTGAAATTGTTATTGTTTGATGTTGCTTAGATAATATTACCTTTGTAGTTTTATTATTGGTACTAGGGGGAGGAGCATGGCAATTCCTTCAATTGTGTTTATATCCATTACAGATGGAGCACTTAATAGTCTTATGATCTAGTGGCACTACAGAAAAAATGTTTTTTGGCGACATATGCACAAACATCGCAGTCATATACGTTGTGAAAACTTCCGGCGACGTTTGACAAATGTCGCTAATTAAAGTGTTTTGGCAATGTTTATAAACATTGTGGAATCTTAGAGGTTTCACGATGTTTATAAACGTCGATGAATCTGAGAGTTATGACGACGTTTACAAACGTTGTCGAACCTGAGAGTTTTGGCAACGTTTATAAAACGTTGTCAAATTTGAGAGTTTTGGCAATGTTTACAAACGTTGTCGAATCTGAGAGTTTCGACGATGCTTATAAACATCACCAAAAGTGATACATTTTATTTAGACTTTTGCTTTTGGCGACGTTTAATTAAACATGGCTAAAACTTTTATAGATGCTTTAATAAGCATCCATCACTTATTTGTGTAATTTGCCCAATAAGGCATTTATCAACCTATAGGCTCAATGATTCTTTTATCAACCTGTAATTTGAATTCACATTTATACACTATGAAAAAATTAAAAAAAAAACAAACATTAAACTTTAAATAATCTTTAAGTCTAACAATCTTTTTTAAAATAAAATATTTGATAGTTGTATGTTCAAAACCAAAAATTGAAAGATATATACATCATCTAAAAAGGACTTTCTTCTTCCCCTTCAGATTCCCCCTCTCCCTCTCTCGACTTGTTTGACTTGCATGAGATGCTCCTTCCCTTTTTTGATTTGTTTGAAGTGCATGAAATGTTCTTTCCCTCTCCTGACTTATTTCAAGTGCATGAGATGCTCCTAATCCAAGTTGTTGGGTGTCCTGTAGAAGACAATGAAAATAGAATATTATTTTCATGCCAAAAAATTATAAATGCATGAAAAATAAAAATAAAGTTGGGATGGCTTACAGGGTTTGCTGGCGAAGCATCGTGAGAGGCATAGAAATTGTTTTTCGATTCATGACTCTACACAAAATATATATTTTAAAACTCAAACAATAACTTATGATTTTTCTAAGTGATTAGTCCCATAGCCAGTAAAACAATTATCAAATTCAGTTAATTCAAACTAGAATCACCTGAAAGGAATTTTCTTAACTCCATAAGTTACTTTACCAAAGAGGTTGGATTTTTTACAATTGAAGTTGTAGTCTTACAAGGGTTCAACATTAAGCATGGAAATCTTTCACTTCACTCAAAATTCCAACATATTTATAAGAATCACCAAGGACCACTTTCTTTTTAAATTCATTAACTGACATCCTTGCTCAAATGAGTAAGATAATCACTATGGACGCAAGAGCTTTACCTTTTTGAATATGGTGCCTCAACTACTATAGCCCTTTCTCTACATTGTTCATCCGTCTGATGGCCATTTGAGAGTCATTCTCCACCTCCAACCTTTGAAAGTCTAGGGAGAGCATGAACCTCAACTACTGCAATAATGCAAAGTCTTAGCTCTAATTGCTGTTCCATAACAAATCAGATATGAGCACTGGGTATAATGAATCTTCCCATATGAATTTCTGAAAATACCTTAGTTTCTAGAACTTCCAAGGTTTCCAAAATTACAGCCATCAAAGTTTAGTTTGGCAACTCCATGAATCATGAGATGAAGGAAATCAACTCTACATCTGAATACTTCTTTTAGAAGATGTTGTCGGAACATCTTGCTATGCTCTCTTCTCACTGCCTCATACTCCTCATCATCATCAATTTGGCAATTAATCTTACTAGACTCTTCCAACATAAGTCTAGACAATTCTAATTGCCTCAACATCAGAATGGACCCTCTTCAGATGTGTAGAAATTCATGAAGTTCATGTATATTCCACCACCATCTCTCATACTTAATGTGTTGTTTGGAATTATAATCACACACTCATAGTGTTGTTTGGATTATAATCCCCATGTGACCCTTACCAAACTGACCTTACAAATTACAATAATAAATTATTTATTTGGTTAGACGAAAGCAACCAAACAATTAAAAGAAAAAAGAAAAAGCTACCTAATTGGGGTTTTGCTGTTTCACGCATACGATACAGAGTATGAGAGTGATCCATCCACTTCCACTGAACTTGTGAGGCAAAATGTCTCTGAGTGGACATGACAAAGGGTGGGTCGTGGGTGGCTCCCTCCAAATCCAAATCCATATATATAATGGGTTTCAATTAATGTTGGGTGCTGGGATGCATATCCATACCAAGTTTTTATTGTACTTATTTTAATTAGAATATACATGCATCTACTCAAAACCTTATTTACAATTAGTATTTTTATGATTTAAAGTACTAAGGTCTGGCATTTGCTTTCTATATAAAAATTAATTCTTGAAATCTTTGATCCTCATCTCAACTCTTGAAATACAGTTTGCAAACCAAGGTGTCCATTGAATGGCTGCTCCTAATTCATTTAATATCTCTTTTGCTTCTATGATTTTGTATGTGCTTTCATGGCCACTCCTCATTACTGACCTTAGTTGGGTTGAGTGACCTTAGTTGGGCTGATTTTGTTTGTGCTTTCATGGTCATATTTAAGCAGTGGGAGATGTTGGACTGAGTGGCATATGGCCCTTGATGATTTAGCCTTGGTGTGTTGGACAAACCGTGGCTATTGGATATAGCCACATACCAATGGACTAATTGCTTACTTTTTGTGTATATTGTGACACAATATCATATCTTTTTTCTTATTATATTGTATTTTATTTTTATATAAATAAAATGTTTTTGCAAACAAGTTTTTACACTTTTTCACATATACACATTTATTGGGCCAAGTTAATCCAACGTCTATAAACGTTTGGCGTAGAAGACTTAGCAAGAGTGGTTGAGAAAAGTAAGGCTTTAAGCTCCACTTTGATTTGAACACAACTAAAAGTGAGAACAAGTGGCAGGTATATTGAAACCAATGTGGTTACTTATATTCTAGGAACAAGGTTTCCAACCTACAGATCCTTTATGTAGCTATAAATTATTAAAATTGTAGACTTGGGGAACATACACAAGTGAATTGCATTTATTAAGCTCCTGCAAATCTACTATATTGGTGTTCTTTCAGGTTGTTGAATGGTCTAGGGTCTTGTATCCTGAACCGGTAGGTGTTGTGATACTACCTTCTATCATCATTAGCTCCATCTTGTTGTTTTTTTTCAAGGAAAGGGGAAGAAGGGAGAAAAAAGAACAAGAGATATGGGAGAAGGAAAAAGGAGGAAGAAGAAGAAAGGGATAATTAGATGTACTCATGATTTGATCAACAAAACTGTGGGGTATTTTTGAAACTGAACCTGTGCTATTGGTTTTGAAAATCCCTGAAGCCAAGCCAAACCACCGGAAATTGAACGGAGAGAAGAAAAAATTCAAAGGAAACCTTGAAAGAAAACCCAGCAACCCATTAACTCCACTTCATATCTGCTACCCACGAAGTGTTCTTATATCCCTACCCACTAAACACCGCCGCCCTGTACTCTTATCATCTCCCATGAAATGACAAGAGAGATATTCCCGGGAACAGTTCGTGGGTAGCAGATCCAACATCCAAGCTCCATTAACTCGCCCATCTTTTTCCATTACTAATCGAGTGTGGATCTGATCCCATCTCAGTTAAGATCCGGAGTCTAATAAAAATGTATTTATTTATATATAATTATGTAATAGATATTAGTATATAATTATGAAATTTAGAATTTATAAATTTGATATTATATATTGATATATATATATATATATATATATGCATAAATTAAAAAGTAATTAAACTTTAAATATTACTTTTCTTTATTTTAAACAGAATAAAGAAGAAAACAGAATTCAAATACTGGACTCACACCAAGGAAAGCAAAACACAAAGACTAGAGAAAAAACTTGAACTTCGTGAAGAACTCCATTCTATCTCTCCCGAACAAAAAAGTGGGGCTGCGCCCAGTTGTACACTCTCTTCGTTCTACGAACCCTTGTTGATTCTGAACTTCGTTCGCGAAGGAACCGGACTTTTGACGGGCCAGCCCTTTTTTATKCGCCGCTTTACCCTGGAAGGAAAATGAGCTTTGCTCCTCTGGGCGCTAGGCGCTCCCGTGGTTCGCGAGAAGGAAAAAGGACTCATCTTTTGTTGCATCTGGCACGAGATGAAAAAGAGAGAGCTTCGTCTATCGATGAACAGCGGAGTCACTGAAAATTCCAAAAAAAAATAAATAATAGGTGGACTTGCTTTTCTCATCGTATTGGTAGTCTTCGAAATTTCCTATCAAATCTGATATAAGGTATGTGCTGGACTTTGTAGAAATCCTCTCCATTGCTGTTGTCAAGCCTGTCTTCAAATTCTTTCGGCATATCAAGCACATTGAATTCACGGAGCGTAGTCACAGACCTCAATCCTTCTGGAATCATTTCCATCCTATGGCAGTCTTGCAGATGCAAACGCTTAAGTCTTGGCAATGCTCCTTCTTCAATGCACCAGCTTTCTAGTTCAAGTTCCAAAAAACCAAGAAACTCAAGTTGATAGAAACCTTGAGATGTGAAAATTATTTCCTTTGGAAGGTATGATTTGGCATGGAGGTCAAGAACCATTAAGCATGGCAGTTCCCCAAGTGCCTTCAGTTGCTCTTGTCCAAACCCAGAACTTTTTAAGGACAACTTGGTAAGTTTTGATGGAAAATCATTTGGCCCAGGTAGCTTTTCTATATTTCCCACCAAACACAATCTAAGGGGACGCTGAAAACCAGAAAGTGGTGCCAAACTTGAAAGTAGTCGATCCGACTGCAGCTTCAAGGATTGAAGGTTGTTGAATTTTACAATGGATTCTAGAACAACATTCCCCTGGTTCGGACCCCAAATTCCCCGAATACTCAATTTCCTTAGATTAGTCAATTTGGCCAATCCTTTGTCTATCCAAGTACCAGCAAAAATATTCCATAGGGTCTGAAGGTTTCTCAAAGTGCTAATTCGCCACTGTGCACTACAATGAAGATCATTAGGAAGATACAAATATCTCAACTCTTTCATCTTCCACACCACGTTGGGTACAATTTGTTTATGGTGAGGGTCATGCCGGTGAAACAAATCCATGGCTTGCAAGTTCCATAGGTTGCCTATGGACTTTGGAAGTTTCTCTATGTTAGTGTTCCTTAGGCCCAAATATTTCAAGTGGACTAAATTTCCTACTTCCCTAGGTAGTCTTCTAACATAGACTCCCTCAAGATCCAAAACCTGAAGTGATTTGAATCTCCTAAAGACAAGCTTTAGCTGGCTATTGTCCCTTAACCCAATAAAGAAGAAGAGAGAAAAGAGGTGTGGATTATCCTGATTGAGAGAGGAAAAGAACTTATCTGTCTCATAATGTACAGCAAGCTTTGGCATATAAGAAGTGTTTGTGGGGTGATAGATCTCAGAGAAATTCTCCTCCTTCGCTTTTGTCACACACAGATCGCGCAGAAGGTCATGAATACAGCAGGTTTTAACTTTTCCACTTAAGCTCACTGACGCCACCTGAACCATGTACCTATTGAGTAGCTCCTCTAAATACTTATTGGCAAGGCCCTCCTTTGTTTCTTCTCCTCTCCATTCCTGCACTGTAGTTATGAGACCCTCAGCAAGCCACAATTGGATCAATCTCCTTTTGGAGATCTCAGAGTCCTCTTGGAAAAGTCCCAGATAAAGGAAACACTGTTTTAGGTGGAAAGGCAGATCATGGTAGCTCAAAGCTAATATCTTCATCACTCCTCCAGGTTCATCTGCTGTGAAGATGGATTTAACACTTTCATGAACCACTTCCCACTCAGAGAAAGAAGAACCTTTTGTTGCTAAGAGCCCTCCTAGTACAACAATGGCAAGAGGCAGGCCGCAACATTTCTGCACCATCTCTTTTCCTATCTTCTCCAGACCAGGAGAAGGGCAGCTGCTGCTACTACTTGTATCACCCATGTTTTCTCGGAATGCTTTCTTACAGAACAGATCCCAACTCTGATTTGGTGTTAAACACTGCGGCTCATGGGGAATGCTAAATGGATCAGCATGCAGAGCAACCTCCTTATTGCGGGTAGTGAGCATTATTTTGCTTCCATTCCTCCCATTTGGAAAGGCAGGTTTCAATCGATTCCAATCATCTTTTCTCCATATATCATCAAGAACCACCAGATATCTCTTCACTCCCAATGTTCTATGAAGCTCCACCACCAGCTCATTCTCTTGCATTGTCTCCAACGATATCTTTTTCTTACTGGGACGCTCAACCTCCTTAATTATTCTCTGCAATACATCTCTCCAACTTGGTTGTTGAGATATGAAAGCCCATGCACAACAATCAAAGTGATGCTTAACATCGTTATGGTTGTAGACTTTCTTGGCAAGGGTTGTCTTTCCCAGACCCCCCATTCCAACAATGGAAATCACTCTAAGCCTTCTTTCTTCAACAACCAACTGGTCTACTATCTCCATGGTGTCTTCATCCAAGCCAATAACATATTCATCGACAACATGTGAATAGCTCCATCTCAACTGTTGTTGCATCTCAGCTGAAGAGGTTCCCGCCCGTTCTAATCTTTCACCAATATTTCTAATTCCATAGTTTTTTCGACTACTAGAGATGTTAAGGATCTTCCGTTGGATTTTTTCAACTTTCTTTCCAAAGTTGTGGAGATCTACACCTTCCTTGACGATGCAAAGACACCTTGTCACAAAGCTCTTTTTCTGTGCTACTTTTACTGCTTGGATATAGTCGAGGACAGTTGTCTCCACCTCCACAGCAGCCTTTCGAATTTCTGTAATCCAGTTGTGGATCCGTCGTTGGTCTTCTTCTTGATTTGTATCTGCATCTTTTAAGAAGCATTTCATCCTCCTCAGTTCAGTTTGAAGCCCTTCAACTTGGTCTTTCACTTCGGACAACAAAACTGCTTCTTGAATGAGTAAATCGCCCAGCTTACTTATAACACATGAAATTACAGAGTCGGCCATCTGATATTCCATTTTCTTTTTCCCGTCCCTTCTCATTGTCTTAGAACAAGACAATTAGGTCTATTTATAGCGCAAACTAATTCTTTCTTTCTACTCGGCAATGTGAATGCTGAATCATGTGAGCTCTCTCTCTCTTGGTATCAATGAAGATTGCCTTGCAAGTCTCACCAGGATGGTGCTTGTGCACATGCAACTTCTCTCTTTCTCTCAATAAATAATTAGTGGGTCTCTTTTCTACACTTCAAAAAGTTGTTTCAATCGCCAATTGAAATTCCCTCACAATGGCGATTCTTCCTTCTTACAATTAGAGAGAGAACCCTGTTTAATTTATTTACATCATGACATGATAAAATGAGAATACTTAGTGATGGGTCGTTGCTACCAATGAATTACATTCTATTTAGGGGTTTTTATAGTTCAGTCCACCCTTAGGGTGGACTAAAGATTTCTAGGGGTGGACTGAATCCTGCCCGTGGATTGATGCCAAATTCATGAGGTGAATTGCAGTCCACTTATTCCTTCTATTATTTATATAGGCACGGCTTTGTCAAGCAAAATTAAATTTGAAGGAGCCCATAGATTTGAATAATAAATATAGATGAACATGGGTCAAACTGATCCTGTACCACCTAACTGATGGGTAGTTCAATTGATACAGTCTCTGACTTGTCCTAGCAGATTGGGATCAAATCCCACTACTACCAAAGTTCATTTTGGGAAGTTATTTATTTGGATAAGTGAATTTATTCATGTTTTTTAATTTTTTAGGTAAATAAGATAATGATCAGTTTAATCATAAAAAACCATTATTAAAAGGAACAATTTTGTCTCATCCAAATGTTAACTTTTTCCTGGTGAAAAATTTATTTACCCATTTGGGAAATGGATATATAGATATCTCGATCATTAAAAACCAAAATCTTATTGACCAACTTTTTTCCCTTTCAAAATCAGAAAAAAACTAATGGGCTTCAAAGGTTTTGAGAATATGGGTATGGGGGATATAAGGGTAAGGGAAATAAAAGAGAGAAATGGTGATTAGAGTTTACAACAATAGGCGTTGGTTTAAAACATTATAATCCACCATGAGTCTTCCATCCCTCAATGTCATTTTTCTTCGTGCATGGAATTGAAACTGAATTTACAAGTTTCCCAACTCAAAGTAAAAAACCGCGCTTTCCCTACTTCCAAGAAAATTGAACAAAGGCAGTTTTTCTAGTCGATTGTTCTTTAAGAAAGAGAATTAATTAATATTATTGGAATCTGATCCCATCCTTGACACACAATTCCACTTTACAAATTACAACTTGTTTGATTAATTATTTTTTTTCTTAGTACTTGTATCAAGCGTTATTCATAAAATAAAGAATCTTGTTTTGTGTTTACTTCATAAAGCAGCTAACTGAGCCCTGAATCTGTAAGCTTTCCTTGTTTTCCTTTTACAAATTACTTCCAAACTGTTCCTAACAGATTGGGCTTGGGTTGAGGTTTGTGTGTTGGGGCTTGGGTTGAGGTCTATGTGTTCGATACTGTATCACAAAAAGTGTGATGCATGCCAGGCTACTAAGACCCATTATGGTGAGGTTGAAATGGTAGCTTTGGCTCTCACCACACATTCTATAGTGTGGTTGTGTGTAGTGTTTAAAAACATTGGAATTTGAAATACAACTTTTCATTAAAATATATACTGAATCAATGTTTTATTAAAATTCTAAGGTTTGGTGCTGTGGTGCATTCAGGAAAAAAGAGATTTTAGTAGCTCAAAATACACAGTAGTTTCAGAGGTGAGTTGCGATCACAGAGAAGTGGTCGTTGAGCAGTTGTATTATGGAAAAACTACTTAGAATATTTTTAGGGTTGTTTGGCAAATCTTTTTAGAAAGATTTTCTAATAGTTCTGACGGTCAAAAGACGCATTGAATTTTTGCATTAACATCTGAGCAGTTCGAAGTTTGTTTAGTGAAGGTGTGTTTTTCTGTGCTTCTTTTCATGCAAAGACGGATAGAAAAAAAAAAAAAACACCAAAGTTCCATTTGGAACTTCCCAAAAATCACCCATTTTGAGCTTTTCACGACTTTTCTATGCATCTATTTTTGGCCGCACGAAAAGATGTGCCAAATGAAACGGAATGAAATGATTTGATTTCCTGTGTCTGAAACAGTGGCACACTTTTCAAAATTTTATGACATTCAGATTTGATCCTCACAAGACCCTGCTCACACCCTTTGCAAAGTCCCTTTCAACTTTGCATTGGAAATATTTCTTCATGAAAAAAGTATACAATCATTGAGATAGTCTCATGGCTGTAAAAGGCTGTGCAAACAGTATGAGCACAGCCTTATAGCACTGAAGCCGATCTCCCAAAAACCCTCCGGAACGGACACTGAGAATCCAATATATATAGCCAATCTCAGACACTCCACGGCTTAATAGAGGGAAAAACTTTGACTATTTCGGTAGCCTGCTTTAACGACATCTAATCATGAATATGGATAAAACAGTATTTACACTATTCAACAAATTGAAAACAAGTGAGGACCTGAATTAGGTAAGGTGTCTTGTTTTCTGTCCATGTTTCATTTTCTGCTGGTTGAATGAAACCTTCTTCTACCAAGAAAAAAAATGACGGGTTTATTGAAAATTTTGGGTCGAACTGTTTGGGAATAAGGGATCAAATCTTACTATCCTTTGTAATTCAGGGGGCATTTTTTTGTTTTTGGATTTTGAGAGAGGAAAATTGATCAATGAAATTTTGATTCCTATTCACCAAGAAACTCATGTTCTTCTTTCAGATTTATGTTGGGACTAGGGAAAATTTATTTTCCTGAGTATCACTTATCCGGGTAAATAATACCCATCTCCTAAGTGGGTAAATAACTTTCCCACCCAAGGAGAAAGTTGCCAATAGTTGAATGGGACAAAAATGCCCCTTTTAATAATGGATTCTTATGGCTAAAATGGTCATTGCTTCATTTATATAAGAAATAAAAAAACATGGGTAAATGCAATTACTTTCCCAGGTAAATCTTTCCTGGGAAACACTTACCCGGGTAAGTGCATACCTGGGTAAGTAAATAACCGAAAAGGGAACAGGGCCTCATTGTAAGCTTGTAACTTTCTTAATGTATTTAGTATTTATCCAAGACAACCACGCACAGCCTAACATGCTCATTGCTATTTAGACTAGAACCAAGTGCACCGAAATTTCCAACTACAAAGGCTTAAGATATACAGAAAGGTAAGATATACCAGAAAGGCTAAAGGGAAAACTCCCATTTAGTATCCTCTACTTTGGTCCCCGAACTTTAAAATGTGACAATTCAGTACCCGAGCTTTCAAAATGTATCAATCTAGTACCTGCCGTTAATTAGTTGCTAACCAGCCATTAAGTGGCATTTGAAAGACACAAATGCCCTTTGGTGTCATCTAATTTTCTTTATAAACCATCCAAACATTGACAAAAAATTAACAGTCTTAAATCATTGCCTCTTCTATTTAAAAAAGTTGGGGTCACCAGAATGCTATACATGACCCCAACTTTCTTGAATATAGGCAAGGATTTGGAACTGTTAATTTTTTGTCAACATTTAGATGGTTTATAAAGAAAATTAGATGACACTTGAAGGGCATTTTTGTCTTTTTAAAATGCCATTTAATGGCTGGTTAACGACAGGTACTGAATTGACACATTTTGAAAGTCCGAGTACTGAGTTGTCGCATTTTAAAGTTCAGGGACCAAAGTGACACTAGGCCCAAAGTACAGGGTATTAATCGGGCATTCCCCAACCCCCCCCCCCCCAAAAAAAAAGACATTCTTTAAGGTAAATGTCAGAAAGCATACCTTCCAGGAGATAAGAAATTTTGTTTCCAAGAAATGCATGTATATTTATAAACTTCATGTATTTACAATATCCATTGAACAATTCAATAATGACAGGAAAATAACATATGAATGAGACTCAACTATATGGCACTATAAAGATGGAATACCCCAATAATTAGATAAAAATGCAAGAAAATAAAAAAATAAAAAAAAAGAATAGGGGTATTTTTACAAATGGTAACAATATATATCTATATACAATCCTTGAGAATGGGTGGAACTTTGACACTTAAAACAAAAGATGAACTGGAACTGCACAGAATGGCATCTAGGCATGGAAATTATTGTTCTCATTCTGGCTCTGCTATGTGTCTTTTAATTGAGAAGAATCATCGCTCTTGTTGTAACAGAACTTGCAAAAGCCCAAAGGTATTTGGGGATTCCAACATTCTGGAACACTTAAAAAGTGCATAGACATGAACTTCCTGAATCGTTTCTTATACTCCTTTGGAGAGATGACTGTTGGGGAGACATTTTTTGGAAGAACAAGGGAGGCTTTCACCCATGTCTCAAGATGTTTGTCCCAGGTATATTGTCTCAAGTAATCAATAATACCACAAACAAGTTCATGCCGCTGAGTATCCACCCCCACAAGTAAAGAGTAGTCCATAACATTTATTGACTGTAAATATCAAAAGAAGGTGATTTTTCAGTATCGTGTCAAGTGAGCTCAAATAGAACCTGAAAAGAAACAATTGACTATATACTCACGGTGAGAAAAGATGTGTCGTTCCAAACAGCCCGTTGCAATAGATGCTTTGTTTTTGAACTGACAAACAAAGGAGAAACATGCATGTCGTCAATGAAATTCTGATCCAAAAGAACATTATTTGAAGCATCAGCAGCTGAAATATATCGAGAGTGCAGAGCGCCTTTGAGATCATACAGGCGTGCAATATTTCGGCCAAATGTAAGATTTTCCATCACCATCAGTTCATGTTTAAATTCTTTTCCACTCTTAGACTGTCTGATAATAACCTGCAGTCAAAATTAAGGTCAAGGAATGTTAAAGTTGCACAGTGGTTTGTTCAGGAAAAGATGTAAAATAGACAAACCTGATATAGTCCTAAAATTTTTGCAAGGCAGGTCTGGCTTCCTGAGTTGAATGATTGATTAATATGCTTGAAATAATCTGGAGCAAACTTCAAAAATGAATCAAATTCTGTTTTCTTGATTTCTTTAATGATAAACCTGTCATCCAGGGTCTTCGCAAAGAAAGATTTGCTCTTTCCACCTTTAGCGTCCCAGTTCTGACAATGACTGAGGGAAGCAATATAATCAAGCTCACATGGACAGCACTGCCTTCTAAGAGCATGAAACTCTTTATAATATAAGCAAACGACTGAATATTTACCCTTCTTGGCAAATTTTCCAACACCTAGAGATATCTCTACATGAAGAGACCGTGAGAACATCAGAGGATCCAGTGGATTCAAGCCATCGGAACTTGATGCTTGCAATTCTTCCATTGAAACACTTTCAGTTAAGTGCAGTCTATTAGAATCCAAATAACTAGTTGAAGACCAATATGGTGAAGTAAGAGAAACATCTGAAGATAGGTTTTGCAAACTCTCAATTGTTTTACCAGTCTCTGCTCTCCCTTCCCATGTTTTGGTTGATCTATGTTGATCATGCAATAAGGCAAGAGCGCAGGCAATTATACTTGAAAATTCACCCTCAAATACTGACACGACATTGTCATCAGGACCAACAGGAACATGCAACCTAGACCCATCATTCATTATCAACTGAGTGAGTGAGGTTAGGAATTCTGGTGTGTAGTTATTGATGAATCTAAATTTCTGTGAGCAGCCTCTCCGAAGCTCCTTTCTATATGCCTTACGTATTTCTGCAAAAGAATTCCAAACCCAGTCCTCAGAGTCAGCTGAGTTGGAAAATATGGAATTTGTATATGCACCAGGGTCCAGATCCTTGGAACCAGAGTTCATATCCATCTCATCAAGTGTTGAACCATCAAGATCCACACTGATAATAGAGTCAGTGTGTCTAAGACTATCAGTAGTAACTGTATTAGTTCCATAACCCTGTAAATGCTCAGAAATGGGAACATAGTTTCCTTGACAATTATCACCATCCAAAGGAAGAATAGAGGAACAAGAGGGTCCTTTATAACAGCCTTGACCAAGAACAAAGTTGTCCAACATTCTGCTTGCAGTGGATGCACACTCATTACTGGAGAACTGAACAGGGCTCAAATGCCCCACAGTTTGCCCTTCATTAGTGTCAGCATGAAAAGAGCTGTTGACCAAAGTGTTTGATTGACCAGATCCTGAAAGAAAATCTTCATGCATAGGTTCTGAAGCCTTGACTTCTGTAATATTAATTTCATCAGCTATAGATGTTTCCTCCAACTTGACTTTTGGTTCAGTCTCTAGGATGAAACCAGAGTTTCCAGAATTATGATAATTGATAGACGATAAAGTGGTTTCAACATCATGTGGATCATTACAAATGATAGAAGCATCATCAGAAATTCCTTCACAAGAGGGCAAAGTATTTTTTCTTTCCTTGGTTCTTCCTGCAGAAATGCCACTCTTCTGCAGCACTAGTTGCTCATCATACACTTCTTTATTACTACAACCATTGTTAATGATTCTAGAGTCAGAAAACATAAGAGAATGCAAACGCCGATCCCAAACATATAACTCAAGGCAGAGTTCCCATCGTAATCCATTCAAGTTGAGAAGCTTGTGAACTGACTGCTCCAGATGCCCATTCTTATCAAGAGCTTTCTGAATGAGTGCCTGAATTTGATAATAAACAGAAGAAAAAGAATATGGTGTTAGCAATTAGTAAAATAATTGATAACAGCCACCTCTGGGCAAAATCAGGGTACAGAAACACCTCCCCATTGATTTGAATAGAAAATATTAACAAGGAAATTTGAAAAGGATATAATAGAATCCAACAAGTGCCAGAACCTGTGTTATGTGATAAGAACATGTCACTATGTCAGCAACTCATAATCAAGATTAACTAACCTCAAAATCAGATTTTTCTTGCCTTAACATCTCTTCAACTTCAGAGAGTTTCCTTACTGGACCACCAAGTCCCAGGGGTACATTTGAAAGTGAGCTAGAAAACCCTGACCCTATCTTCCACAATGAGTTGTTAACCTCCATGAATAGTAACAGCCCTTCTGTAAGCACCTAAAGTAAAACAAACCGTTATTTCCAATTAATTCACAAAAGTTATACATGAGCTTTAAATAAAAAAAAAAGTCTCTTGTTGACGCATAGCATACATCTTCAGCTTCTTTTTTGAACCATTCTTGTCCAATTGGATTATTGAACTCTAAAATCTGAGGCGGCATGGATACAGTATAAATATCTACTGGAGAGTACCTGAACATTGCAACTGTTGGACCCAATCTGCAAATTTTCCACAAATAGGTCTTTATACAGTCAAAAGATAAGGACAAATGAAAATAATAAGCATAAATTCCCATACCCATAGAAGAAAAGGCTGTCTCCAAACAATGAATGTGTGCAATTAGACAACCTACAGGAAGTATAGTGGTTTGAAAAGCTAAGCTCCAAGAATTTTCCAAATGAAAGCCCAAGGGATACTGTAGATATCACCACTCTTCGTGTAGATTTGAGGATTCCATTCTCAGGCTTACATTTTAAACAACTAGTCCACATCCAAAGTTTCCCTTCTGCTTCACCAGGCAAATGCAACTCCTTAGGAAGTTGTTTAACTCGTATTGTCAGCCTCCCATTATGATGTGCATAATGGTAAATATGAGATTCTGGAGGTTCACTGCATTTTGAGCACCGGTGCCTCTGCCATGAATATAATATTTTTTATCAGCCCCACCCCAAGCAAATCATATGTAAATCTCAAAGAAGCAAAAAAATGAATTTGGAAAATGGAAACAAAATGAGCTGAGGAACCTGATTGAGTAAGTTTTCACACAAGAACCATCCAAGGGGCACATCAGAATTCCTATAGTAGTTAATACGAGAAAGACGGTTTTGCTCACAGATAGTTCCTCTTAAGATATTTCGACTGCACATCAGAAATAAAATGGCCTGGGTATCTAAAGCACTGCTGATACCATTATTATGTTCCATTTGATCTTCATTATCAATATCAACCTTGACAGTGTCCAGAGGTATTTCAGGACAAGCTGACAAAGGCTCAGCTTGTTTACCAATATGTGACCTCATTTCTTCCACAACATTCTCTATTTCTGTCTGACAAATGTCAAGTGCTTCAGGAGATGTAGTCACAGGAAATACAGCTGATTTCTTGTTCTCTAGTTCCCTTTCCTTGAAACCTAAGCATGTGGAGATAGAGTGGTAGGTAGTGGATGAGACAAGAGGGAAGCTATCTACAAGGATCTTAACAGAGGCTGACAATGATGACAATAACTGCCCAGAATGAACAGTTGGTATGATTGGATCATAAAGTGCTTCTGATAAATGACAACTTTCATTGTCAGGCATATTATGACTAATAAATGCACTTTCAGAAATATCATTTCCCAATGAATGGACATTAGGATAAGATCGTAGAAGTGTACTATTGCCATCTAACCCCAAAACTGAGTTTGGAGACATTCCTTCATTAACAGACTTTTCTCGGAAGCCATCAGAAATAGGAATTTCAGTAGTAGTACAGGAAAGAGCTGGAGAGTCAACCCAAGAACCATTTGGGTGAAGAAATGCACCAGAAGATCCAACAAATGGTATTTTTTGATCTGACAGAAATCCATTTGCTATTCTACTACAACGAACAGAAGAGAACATTGCCCTTTGATCAACAAGAAAAGAAGTCTCCAGGATTGTGTGATATGCCACAAGAACTGCATACTGCACCACACATTTAATTTTTTTCAATTCATCACTCGGAGCTCCCTTCAGTAAAATCTGCAATTTGAAATTACAAAAAGTAATTACCCCAGAAGTCATTAAGATTCTGGCAGAGAACAATATTAAAGATCTGATGTCACAACATCTTGACACAGAAGGAATTTTCAGACTAAACATAAGGAATGAAGGCAACCTTCTTATATTATAAAGCAACACAAATTGCATTTCAAGTAAAAACCATTCTGTAGCTGGTGTAGTAGAACACATTAGAGAAAGTACAGAACAAACTAAGACACATAGTCATTAAGTATACAGTGCAATAAATAACAAAAAATCCATAAATCCTAGTTAGGATGCATTAAATGCTACACCATTAACACTCTAACTGAAGCATTAGAAATAAAAGTAACATTTGTATCCATACTTAAGAAGATACTTTCATATTTGAGAGAACACCTTGGTTGTACTACATCTTAATTGGAAGACTCAATAGCTTGTATCTTTTACAAAATTGCCACAAAGTTACTTGGAAACACACATACATACACAAAGACATACAGGAATATAATCAATGCATCAGCTGTCACATTCAAAATTCCAAATGGACAAGAAGCAATTATAGAACTTTATTGCTTTAATTAAATTTTGTAATTCAGTATTTTTTTGAACTTTTTTTTTTATCAATAACAATAAGCTTTATTAATGAATAAGTTTTGTGAAACTTTAATTACAAAAGGGGGGAGGCAAACTATCTTAACTCCACAACAACAAAAGAACAAAGAAAGAAGCTAAAAATTAGCCCAATACAGAGATTCCTTAAACGCCCCTTGCTTGGCTAACCCATCAGCCATTGAGCTACCACTTCTCTTCACCCAACTGTACTTCACCTCAATATCCCTACTCAGCAATTTAAATTTCTTCTTTTCATTGCTGTAGCTCCACAAACCACTGTTGTCTCCCTTCAGCCACCTAATCACCACCTCTAAGTCCCGTTCAAGGACCAAGCATCTGATGTTTAATTCTCTTGCTCTTTGGATTCCTTCCAGAACTGCTAGAATCTCAGCCCAAAGAGAGTCACCCTCTCCAATTGGGCCTGAGAACATAGCAGTAATAAGCCCATCATTCCTGAACACTCCCTCAATCCTAGAAGGCCCTGGATTAGTTTTTTTTTTTCTCTTGAACTTGATAGTCCATGGGGAGTATATTTATCATATTGTAAAATATAGTGAAATGCCATCTTATGACAAGTCATAAAACTTGGTAAGCCAATAGCTCTAGACAGGTGTTGATTTTGTTTATGACTCAGTTCAAGGCATTCGTATCAGGGGCTCAGATTTGGTTGTTTCTACTTTCTTTGGATTTCTTTTCTCCTTTTCTATTGGATGCAGATGACTGTATGGTACTTGATCTCTTCTTTTTCCCCTCCTTGTTAAGATCTTTTGAGAGCATGGGAAAAAAAGAGGATATGCAAGATCTTTTAAGTGCAATTTTAGCTTCATTCTGATCCTACTTTTATTTCCTTTAAATTTTGGGGAAAATACTTATCCTAACAAATTTTCAAACAAATTAGACCAATCTAGCAATATTTATGGATACATCTATGAGTCAAAGACAAGAATTAACAAATAAAAATTGAATATAAATTCTGCATTTTAGTAATTTTTAGGTTTTAAACATTTCTTGAAAATTTTGGGTTTATCTCTTTCACCTGACACAAAATAAATGCAAGATCATTAGAGAAGATCCAAAAATCTGTTTTCATTTTACTTCATGGTTCATCCCAACGAACTAAATTGAGTTAAGTAATCTATTGTGTCCATGGAATCTATCATCAAATTATAGAAAGTCTGATCATTTCGTGACTATATAAAACAAAATGCAACAGTGTACAACATCAACATATCAAAAAGGATGACCAACAAAACATATCAAAAAGGAACACCACAAGTATTCTCCTCATTGTGCATGACAATGGTACATTAGTTATATGTCAAGAATACAATGGTACATTAGTTATATGTCAAGAAAATTTGCTAGCAAAAATAGAGTGTTATGTTCATTTGCTCAATTATTTCTTTAGAAAACTTGTGCATTTGAACTAATATTTATCCTTCTTTGGCCTGGATATTGGGAGTCGAGTGGACCCCAAGCACTTAACTGAAGGGGTAGAAAAGTAAGTTACATACAGAAACAGATACAGCCTCTGATGTTCTTCCTAACATAGGTATGCCAAGAGGGGATAAAATAAAGATTCAGGTAAGTTTCTTAGTTGAATGAATTTTACCCTTTTCAAAACTAAGATTAAAAAAATGCAATTCTATGTAGATCAAAAAGTATTTAATTTCATTTAGATTCCATACCTTGAATATAGGAACTCAATCTAAAGTTGCTAAATTTTAAAGTATAAGGACTAGTTGACTTGGGGTTTTATTCAAGTAGCAAGAGCTAAATATGGACTTCAAGTTTTCAAAGATCAAATTCAAGAACTAACGCTATGTTTGGTTTGAAGGAAAAAGTAGAGAAAGGAAGGGAAAGGTAGGGAAACTCATACAAGGTTTGTAAGGGTTTCCCCAGCTTTCCCTTCCTTTCCCTATTTTTTTCCTTGAAACCAAACACAGCCTAAGAGAATAGGACTCAATATAGAACAAAAGTTAAGAACACGTTTATAGAATAAGTTCTAGATGGCAACACTCCACCAAAGGATAGATATAATAGCAACAATATACATATCAGAAAGTCAATTTTGAAGATAACTATCATAGATAAGACGGAAAAGTCATAGATACAGTGATACACAGGGATAGGTTTAGTAAATACATTTAGTTCATACAAAATTATAAATAATCTTTGATGTATAAATTATTAAAAGTAAAGCATAAGAAATGCTTAAAAATAGTCCTTTTTTTTATAGTTTGCTTAAAATAGTTTATCTGACTACATTAAAAACTATAAGGCATTTTAAAAAATATCACATGGATACTGATGGTTTCTTTTTACTTTTGGAATTTCTAGTAGTTAGGTCACTACCTAAAACAGTTTTTAATTATGATGACTATATTTAAATTTCATTTAAATTTATATAATAAAACTTGTAATCAGTAACATATCAGAGAATTTTACTAGAAATGAATAAATAGGAGAGAACAGACAGAGGGAAAGCTTAAGATGCATTTATGGCCTCAAATTCATATTATATCATTTAAATTGAGGCTTTCATGTTCTAGATATAGAACTGATATGTATTGTACATGCATATTGACAGGAAAAAATTAAAAGTATTCATTGAAAGATATTTATATATATTCAAAACAGGAATTTCACTAAGGTTCTGCCTAATTAGTTTTTAGAAGATACAATCACGAAATGGGTAATTGGGCATAGCTTTAGATGTCCATATCAACCATTTGTCAAAAGGAGACGAATATATCTTCATTGATGAGCATTGGAATTAATAAGATGTCAAAATTATACACTCCATATAAGGACACATCAATCAAATTTATAAATGCTCCACACGAATATATCTTCAAATGCTTCAATTCATCATTTAAGAATCCCAAGGTTAAAACCAATACATTTCAAATTAAAGGAATCTGAGAAGCTATATGGCATCAGTAGTATAAAACAAAATACTCACCGTACAGCCCAGAGGTCTAGGACAACCCTCAAGGAACATTAAAGTCTTACTGGGTCTCTTCCCACCCTCAACATAACCACCATGTTCCTCAATAAACTTTTCAAAATGGAAAGAATCACATTGTTTCATCTCTTGGTTCACCAAACTATCAGCAGAAGACACAATTTTTGAACCAGTACAACGAGCAATTTGCTCTAGCCGGTGAAGCTTCATATCAAAGACCAATGTTATTCCTTTTGTAAGAAGAGACTCTTGCACATCATGAGAAACAGTTTTCTCCACCAAAACCACATTAGGGTGGCACGTTTCTATCATCTCAATGATTGTCTTCATATTATCTTTCTCCTGTTTACAACCAAATAATCAGGACTAATAATTGAGAATTTCACCTCCAAACAATGGCATATAATATTAACACATATTACCTGATCCATTGAATCAAATGATGACAACCTGCTTGAACACTGGCCAAGCATTCCCTGCAGCAGCAACAATCTAGGATTCTTGTACTTGGTATGCATGTGCTTGTGTGCAGAATTTTTCTTAAAAACCAAGCCTTTTATCACTTGACTGTGAAACCCAAATATTTCCAAAGGTCAGAAAAAGGAAGATGCTTCATCCTCGCCCAAGCTAGTTGACATTTAATGATATATAAAACATAGTATTTCAGAAGGCTATAAGGATTTGCTTTTTCAGTTCCATCAAGATGAGGCTCAACCATGGAGACTCATGGTTTAGAGCTTAAGAGCACATGTGTCAAACCTTATGGATCCTAAACAATATGGATCACATAATTTTTTGTTTTTTTTCTTTTTTGAACTAAGTAGTGTAAACCACATGCATAAACCAGAAATAGCATTTTTCATTACAAGGAAAGTAAAAAGGTTAACTTCTGTAAGTTAAAACCTAACTTTATTGACATTAAGAGTTTCTAATACCATTAAAGAATGTCTCTAATACTATTAAATTGGTTATTCACATTTGAGGTCATTCACATCATGTTAAAACCCCTTTGATGTTCCATTCACATTAAGAGTGTCTCTAATGCCATTGAAGAATGGTCAGTTACTGAAATGCAATGTGCTTTTCCATTTTCATGTGATTCCTTTACAATTGTTTATTACTGATGAAATATGTTAATTTACCTTTCAATACAAATTGATGACTAAAGATCACCACTTTCTATTATACAAATAAACAAAAATAAATAAATATTATAATGACTAGGTGTGGATTCAAACATGGATGGAAGAAACAGAAATACAAATCTATTGTAAATTGCTTAATAAATTTATAAAATCTGTAAACAATTTTACAAGCTACTATATGATTCATGATTCAATTTGACTTAGCATTCTCTACAATTTATGGCATGATTACGATTCTTCCATTGGAAAACATAGATACAGTTATAGATATCTCATTTGATATAGTGGTGCCATGCGCTTATATTTGGAATGTTAAGGCAAATATCATTTATCAGTAATTAAATATTGTCAATTTTAATAAAACTTATAACGTCAACAAATTTATCATAGTACAATTTGTAAAAACATAACATCCACATATTTCTATAAGTGGCCCTACTCAAAAGTATACTCTAGAAGTGTCCTTGCAATATCCAGTGTCATGTCAGGTGCATATCATGGCTGACACTGGTATGATAAACGTACACAGGTGTCCTGGTGTCATAGACTGCAAAGACTTCTTTCTTCATGTTTGAATCACATATGAATTTTCTCTATATAAAAAGGGCAGCCCACTGCATGACGTTCCTGCCAATGTGGGGTCTGGGGAGGGAAAGATGTCCACAGCCTTACCCCTGCACATACAGAGAGGCTGTTTCCAAGATTTGGGCCCCGGTTGCCCAAGTCACAATGGAGCAACCCAGCCATTGCACCAAGGCCCACCATCATATGAAGTTTTCCTATATAGATATGAATATTTGTATTCTTATTTTCTGCTAATTTAGTTACATTTTCTAATTTTAGTTCATCAATTATTTAAGTTGAAGAACCAAGAAATCAAAGCCTCACATGTATGGATGTTTTGGCACATCACTTCATGCTTACTGTTTTCTAAATCTGATAGAAGATTGTTTCATTTCCTCATTAGATAATTGACATGTACACCTTACTTAATAGAGGTAGAAGGTACAATAACATTAGTTACCTTTGGTTGCGAGAACCAGTTGCAATACATTTAACCTTGAAATAACCTTCCAGATCCATTGTTTTACCCTCAAAAGCATCAGGCTTCACAATCAACGCAGCTTCCCATGATAAAGAAGTAACTATGTCAACCCAGCTCTCACCAGTCTCTTCTGACAAAAAAATGCCTTTCAACATAAGAAGTTGACTGACAAGGACCTTAAATTTCCCATTCATCACCTCTTGCATTGCCTTCTCTAGCCTTACTTTCTTTCGCTCTTCTTTAAACTTGTAGATGCCACTGCCTTCTTCATGAAAGCTACTTAAAGAACTTGGTTGACCCCATTTTGTGCCATCACCACATTCATCATTGGGAGCCACTCTGTCTTCAACATCATCCTCCAGATCATCTGGTTCAGGGGGCACCCACAATTGGACATCAGTTTCAAAATCAAAAGATTGAGAGAGTTCTGCTGTCTCTCTAGAAGCTGTAAATGATTGGTTTGAACTCTCTCCACCAGCCTTAGCTCCTTCATCATCACCAGCTTCTATAATTGGAATATCTATTAATACACCATCATCAGGTAGGAGTTGACTACTGTTTAAAGCACCCTCATCCCCTTCCACCCTGTCAATAATAAAATTACATAAAATTTAAAAGAAAAAAAACAAATCAAAATGAGCAAATTGGTCAACAAGGTGATAGTACTACATCACAAATTAAATGGTCACTATGTAGGAAAAAAAAGAACCATGAGATACCTGCCAGGTATATCTATGTCAATTGAAAAGTCACCTGCAAAGAAGAATATAGTAGAAAAAATGGAGTTAGAACTGCACTGCTTTTTGAAGGCATAAGCATATTGGATTTTTAGCAAGATCCATCAAAAGGTAAACAAAAATGAGAAAGTGGAAACTACTGCAGCTTGAGGTAAAGTTATCTTTGCCTGTCAATGAAATCGATGGACTGATCAATTGTGCTGCATATGGACTAACATCGTTATGTACAGTGGACTCTTGCTCCTTCATCATACCACAAAACTTACAGGCTTGCGTGGGATCTCTACCATCCAATTTAAACATATTCTGTCTCTTCTTAGATTCCTCCCCATTATCCAACTCTGTCAAGGGCGCATCACAAACATTGCATATTGAATACATGTGATCCAAAGGAATCTCTGCAAACCAGACTACCTTTAAATGAGTTCCAAAGCTGATTCTTAAAAAGTTCAAATAGAAAAGTAAGTGAATAAGTTTTTCTCTCCTCTCTGCCCATTGCATAACCATCCAAGGATCATTCAAACTGCCAAAAAGAACCATTTACTCCTTTTCTGAAACTTAATACTAAAAATTTGCATTGATGAACATAAGAATCTTACATAATTACCCCTCCAGGTTCATAAATCAATCTCCTAACAGAAGGAATGAAGAAAGCATCACAAATACTAACTAAAAATAGTCTGGCAAGCAATAGAATTTTGAATGAGAGACTAAGTGAAATTGTCGCAATGCAATTTGTGAAGCGAATACAAGAGAACAAAAAAAAAAAACAAAACAAAAAAAAAGAACAAAACAAAACAAAGAAAAAAAGCCCAAAACAACAGGGCACCTACACAACACAATATAAAATAAATAATCAACAAATGGCATATAATGTTGTCCAAGCATAATATCAGAAAATAAGAAATTAAAGAGCATAATGCTCAAATTCTCAAATTCCAATGGAAGTGAAAAGTCAAAAAAAAGGATATTTAAATAAAAAACTGATCATTCCGAGACCAAATTTTAAAATAAATCGTCAGACTCTAGGAAAAAAAAAATAGCATAGCAGTATCGAAACAATTCATCAATCAACGGAACTTACTCAAACCTTGAATTTCCTCGTCCAACCAGAAAATTAAAACTCAGAATCTCCCGAAAAACGTCCAGAGGAGAGAAACTCAATAATCCAGAGCCAACCCCAACTACCCAAAAACGCAGCAAATTCTCAGAGATTTATAAGAATATTTGAAGTCCTAAAATCCGCTAAAACCTTCCATAAATCCCAGTTTCCATATTTAAAACGCCAAACACAAAACCACCACTACGCCAAAAATACAGTTCATAGAATGTTACTATTTTTATCAAAAAAAAAAGTCGAATCACGTCTAAGACTTACTGGTCAAGAAACCAGAACGAGAAGAACGTCAGAGAGTTCCTTGCAGAGAAATATAAAGCATCATTATCTCTATTGTCGTCGTTAAAATTTAAATTTCTGGCAAAGCAAAGAAGCAGCTGTTAACTTCCAGAGTGTGTACAGACAGAGAGAGAAGCAAGGGAAGGTTGAAGAGAGAAGAAAAGGGAAGAAAGAAAGAAAGAAAGAAAGAAAGAAAGAAACAGAAAGAAAGAAAGGAAGTGGACCCCACTATTTAAACCGTCTTTTCCAAAATACGTATATACGATATCCATTTGCCTTAATTACGCAGATCCGATACGTGTACAGATAAGGCACATATGTACACTGTACACATGCTCTATATAGGGATGTCAGTGGATCGGGGTTGTGGTAAACCCGCATTGAACTTAACCGATCGGGTTTGGGTAAGGAGTCAACCTTAATCGGGTTTCCATGATTTGAGATGTTCCCATCCTAGACCCGACCCGATGACGTTAGACATTGAAACATTGACTTAGCGCCCTTTTGTCGTTTGAGAAGACTTGAAGAGGCTCATCTATGACTATCAAGGCATGATTTTGGCCCATGTAGGCCTATTTTCAGGAAAAAGAAACACTATCAATGGATCGAGATCGGTTCGGGGCAGGACCCATTTCGACCATTAATCGGAACAATTATCTTGTACCCAAAACCAAATCAGACATGATAAAACCGGATTATACTTGGCATCTATAATCTATCTGTATGATTGTATTGTCTATCTTTTTTTTCCTTTTCTTTTGAATTTTTTATTTTGTTATATATATATATATATACTTTCTCCAAAATTATCTCTAATTCTTATTTATCTTCTAAATTATCTCTAATTCTTATTTATCTTCTAAATTATCTCTAATTCCTATTTATCCTCTCCCCTACTTTTTATCTATATCTATCTAAAGAAAGTTTGAGTTAAACAAATTAAGAATTGTTTAAACATTCTAACAAAATTATATAATAACTTTAAAATATTTAATAAAAACACAAAAAAACTAATTTTATATTTTTACAAAATATATCACAAAATTATGTACTAACAATTTAAATTATGTCTTTCCAAATTATCAATTTAAATGTTTTTTAAATGTTTAATAATATGTAATAGCTTTAAATAAATAAAATTCGAATAACAAAACATTTTAAACATTTTATAGATTATTTAAATATTTAAATAACTAAAATATTTATCATAACTATATTTTAAATAGTTAAATTAATGAAATTATGTAATAAATTAAAAAAAAATCTTCCAAGTACAAGAATAATTATAACATAATATTGAAATTTGTAATAATTTAATATATTACAAAATTAATAATGAAATTACGTAATAATAATATAAATAATGATTTTATGGATAATTAAATTCAATAAATAATTAATATTTTAAAACTTAAATATTTTACATATTATTTAAGTATTTAAATAACTAAATATTTTAAATAAAAAAATATTTAACATAACTAGATTTTAAATAGTTAAAATAAAGAAATTATTTAATAAATTTAAAAAATTCTGAAAATTAGAAATATAATTATAACATAATATTGAAATGAATAATAATTTAATATTTTTAGATAATATTGTAAATAACTAATTTCACTTATATCAAGTAATAATTCGAGAAAATAACTTTCAAAAAATTAGTATTTATTAATAATAATTTTAAACTCTTAATTTGTATTTATTATATAATTATATATACTAAAATTAATATTTATTGCATTTCAGTAATTATTTATTGTTTTTTGTTATAAACGTATTTTCAATGATTATGTATAAATTTATTTTGTTTTGTTATTTAACAGAAAATTTTCAATAATTATTAGAAATTAAACTAGTATTATTGAAAATTTTAAATTTAATTTATTGTACTTATTGTATTTATTGTATTTTTGTTATAACTTATTGATTAATATTTATTAAAGATTAAACTATTTATTAACTAAGTTAATATATTTTTAGTACTTATTGTATTTTTGAAATTATTGCAATTATTGTATTTTTTCATTATCAATATATTTTCAATAATTGTGTATTTTCACTATAAATTTTCAATAATTGTTGGAGATTAAATTGTTGTTATTTATTAGAGATGAGACTATTAATTTAGCTGAAATTATGAGTGTTCATGAGTTGGTCCGGTTCAAACATAGGCTATTTGGCCAACCAAATTGGCCTGGTCAAGTTGAGGAATTGGTCAGCTGAAATCGACTGACGTTTTGTGAAAACCAACCCACTCAAGTTGTATCGATTTGGGTCGATTTTTTGGTTTAGTCAATCGGTTCAAAAGATCTAAACTTAAAAATTAAATTAAATTTTAAAAATTACAATGCAAGTGCAATTCTTAAAAAGTAAATTAAAAAATTAGATTTATGATATAAAACATTTTAGACTAAGAAATATGGGAAATTTCCCAATTTTCCATATTAAAAATTATATTTAAAATATAAATATTAATATATATCCATGGTTAGGTCGTTCAATTTTGGTTGGTTGGTTTACAAATGACCAAAGTGAAACTGATCCAACTTGGTCGAATTGGGAATGACCAACTCGGGTCGAGTTGATCGGGTTGGTCGGTTTCATCAGTTTGATGAATAAACCTAATTGAAATTAATTATTGTTATTTTTCTATTATAAGATAAATTATTAAAAGTAGTATATAAAATATGAATAATTATTAATTATTTAATAGTTGAAAATATAAAACAATTGCATACTCTTATGTGTTTCTATTAGGCTGCATTTGAATGCGATGTAAATCAAGAACCGATTTGAATTTTACGTCAGTTCGATTTTATATGCGTTTGGAAAGAGGGTGTAGTTATTATCGACGTAAAACTACACTCCAATCTAGTTTTACGTACGTTTGGATGGAGTGCAGTTTTACGTCGATAATAGATGTAAAACCTCATCACCTCTAAAGTTTTACATCAATAATCAATGTAAAAACTACACCGATTTTATCGATGTAAAACTTTACACTCTTTCACCCATCACTATTTTCAAAAAAGCAACGGTTACTTCTGGTTCAATGTAAAATGTCATTAGTGTATTTTTACACTGTTGACGTTTTACACTGATTCCAAACGCAGCCTTAGGGTCATTTACTAGAACACACCTTATAATTTTACATATTTACTTAAACATACCTTATAGTTTTCATTTTACTAAAACATCCCATATATTTTACAACTTATTTACTTAATCAACCTTTTCATTAAGGAGTGTTTGTTTTGCCATTAGGCCCACAATTTTTTATTCCAAAAATACCGTTAACATTTTTTTTGTACAGAAAACAAAATTGACCAACTATAGCCAATAGAGTGGTTGCTTGTGTCTTATTGAAGGCAAAAATGGTATTTTTATTTTTATTTTTATTTCCTTTTGATTAAATTTATTTAAATGAACATTAGGGTTAGCATTGTCATTTTTCACTGTAATCTATTGATTAAGGGGATGTTCGGAACCGATCCACATAGGCGTTTCAACAAATGCCCATGTATCTCATTGTTTGGTCATCCGATTATTAAAAAATCGGGTATGCCTTGAAAATCGAGACCCCTTGGCGTTTCATGCATCGGTGAACCATTTCCTCCAATA